AGGAGATGGAACGCTATCTCTACCAACCTCCTCACTTTGGTACCATTGATATTCGTTCATCATTACTTCGTTATTGCTTGCTAAAAACATCTAGTAAACTATCTATGAGCCCTAATGCCGGTGGCAGCGCCATCGCGGCAGTACCAAGGCCCCAAATCTCTTGTTCAGGGCGGTGCACCCCTTCAGCGGTGCCGTCCAAGAGCCAACCCTACCATGATCATGCGCATCACTTTCTCGGCGCCGTCTTCGACCAATACCTCAGTCTGGACGATTGCCTGTTCCAGGGTTACTGGCCCCCTGAGGATGCTCGTGAAGGCTTTGATGCCTGCACCATAACAGCCGTCTGCTCCTTCCCCGATGGTACCAGCTAGTGCAACCACCTGCGCCCCGTTCCGCTTTGCGCGACGAGCAATCTCTGTCGTCATCTGTCTTCGTCAGCGGCCTGATGGATGAACGACGATAAAAGATTGCATACCTTCCCGTTTGGCGACTGGAAATCCAGAGCGCCTTCCGCCGTAATGACAAAATCCCACTGATTCTCGAAAACCCGGTCGAATTCAAAGTACTCGTTGATGGCTTCGGCGCGGGCACGCAATGTAGCGCCGAGCAACATCAAACCTGCTCCGAGACCTCCACTGGCACCGCTACCCGGGGTCTGAGAGATGTCCTCTCCAAGCGTCGACTGAGCAACCTGCGCCAGCCTCTCAAGCGATGATGCGAGCATTTCGACTTGAGCAGGCGTAGCTCCCTTCTGCGGCCCATACACTCGCGCGACACCTTTGGAACCACAGAGGACATTCTTAATGTTGCATACGGCCTCTATCTGGACCTTCTCGGCTGCATCAACGTTAGGACCGGTATGGATGTGAGACGTGGGTGGCTTACCAGCATTCTTTTGTAGTCGAGGATGCACATCAGCCCAGCAGATGCTGGATAGGCAGGCTAACGATCGACCACCGCCGGCTTTGGGTAATTCCTCACCATATTCATCAAGCAACCGGACACCGAGAGCCTGGAGCATTCCCGCCCCTCCGTCTGAGGTTCCCGAATCTCCACATCCAATGATGATCTTTGTGGACCCTGCATCAAGCGCTCTCTTGATAAGCTGACCTACCCCATAAGTAGTGGTGATCGTTGGGTCGCGTTCGTCTTTCGGGACCAAGCGGAGGCCTGCCGCTGCCGCCATGTCCAATACAGCCGTCTTCTTGTCCTTGCCAATAAAACCAAGGTGCGATTCGACCGCCGATCCAGTAGGGCCGGTGACTGGCACGTCGACGATACATCCGCCATGGGCCGCTACCAATGCACGAGCAAAGCCCTCTCCACCGTCATGCAGAGGAAGTTTGCGCAGGATAACAGAGCTGCGATCGAGCACCTTTCGAATGCCTGCCTCGATTGCACCAGCCACGTGTTCTGGGCCCAGACTCTCTTTGAACCCTGACGGTGCTACCAGAATCCTCAGTGGATGTCCGGCCAGAATGTCTGACGTTGGAGTGGGTAGAACCGCCGACGCCGAGTGCGTGAGGTCGTCTGCTTGCTGTTGCGGCAAGTCGAATGTCTTCAACGAAAGGAGTCGCGTGATCTGCGGTGCGAGTGTTGACGTTGCGGCTGGAGCAGTGTGGGCACATGGCTCCTTGCTTACTGACACGCTGGCAAGCATGTTTGATTCGAAGAGAGTAAAGCTGAGTAGATGATCACGAATAATGCTAATGAGACAGGATGTTGATCGAATGATGTCGAAATCGAAAAGCGAACGTGAGAACGTGGTAATGTAGAGCGAGCGTGCGTCAATCAATATGCCTGATTGGATACCGTCATCATATGGACCTACGACGTCCTTATATCTTGGTCCCAGACTCTGCTCGTCTGGAGTTGCACGCTCTCGCGATAGACCTATGCGACATAGCCCATAGAGCTATTTCCGGTGCATCACTTGGAAACGCCACCTGAGGTGTTACTTCCAGCCTCAAAACCACGGCATCAACGTCATTGAAGCTGCAAGTACACACACATTCATGAAACATGAATGCCGCACTTCCTAGCTCATGGTATCGTGGCATAGCCGGAAATGACGACTACTATAACACAGCCCTGCTAGCATTCGTACTACCAAGTGTATAGCCCTAAGTCTTGGTTGGCTTTTCTTGATATCTTGATTAGTATTAATCCCGCATACCCAAAGTTCTTGACTGACCCACTTTGTTCTTGAGGTCTCGATTTCGGCCAATCGCGGCGATTGCACGAGTCTTCACCAAGCGGTCTAGCGAATAACCAAGCTGTACCTGCTTGGCAGGAAGAACCGAGCACAGCCAGGTAGCTGACGTCTACAAAGAAGGCTGCTGTCGTTGATCAGTCTCCACCAGAAAAAAGCTTACCGTCTCGTGGCAGTAGCCGCAGCCTCGTTATTGGCTATGGTGGACCTGAGATGTCGTGGCTACCGTGCGCCCACGCGACAGTTTTCTATTCTTGAAAACACCTTCGACAAGGGTCTCACGGCAGCCTTATCAACCTGAGCCTGGGCATCTCGAAGCCATCTTTCTTGGACCGTGGCATTCACGCTACACTGTTGATACTGTACTTTGAGGTCATTTGGCAGTATAGTGCTTTTGGTACGGTGAACAGCCTCCTCTTGGTGAGCGCCTCTTTGACACTGCCTCAATTGGTCAGATTTGGCAAGAAGGTTTCGATACTATATACAGGCGATCTTCCCCTGTAACAAGAAAAGGTACTACCCATCATCACAGTCGCTATCACCACTCTTTGAATTTCTCATTCGGTCAATCGCAACACTCGTTACTTACCATGAACTTCAAAGATAGGTTACTTGGTCGATCTTCCCGAGACGACGGAAGCGCACGCGACTCCTTGGCACTGCCGAGATTTTCGTTCGAAGGGGACGGTCGTTGGCTACTTAGCACGCAGCGTCTGTTCCTGCAGTGGGAGCAAGAAGAGTCAGGGTACGAGGCTGGCCGCGAGAACATGGAGGAGGGCCTTCGTAAAGGCGAAGAAATCATTGTAGGTCTCTTGGGTGTCTCATGGCACTGCCACTGACGTGACGTGTAGATCACCTGGGACGGCCCGAACGACCCTAGCAACCCTCTCAACTGGAACAGCAAACGCAAATGGGTAGCTACCATACTTGTGTCGCTGTTCACGTTCATATCGCCATTCTCGTCGACTATGGTAACACCTGTGTTGCCGGACATTGGGGATGACTTTGACATACCGGAAGGCTTTATGCGCCAACTGGTCATGACCATATTCCTTCTTGGCTACGCTCAAGGGCCATTTGTACTTGCGCCACTAAGCGAGATCTTCGGGCGCGTTACGGTCTTACAGTATGCCAATTTAGTGTACCTGCTTTTCAATACCTGCTGCGGGTTTGCGCAGACCAAGGAGCAGATGCTTGCTTTTCGGTTTCTTAGCGGTCTAGGCGGAGCTGCACCCCAAGCTGTACGTCGAATCATTGCACATTCATTGCAAGTCTCACATCATTGATATACATGACTGACGGAAGATAGTTGTGTAACGGCGTCCTTGCTGACACCTGGTCAAAGGAAGAACGTGGAAAAGGCCAGGCCATATACGGCATCCTGACATGGCTGGCACCCTGCGTAGCACCAATTGTCGGCGCATATATATCCACAGACGCGAATTGGCGCTGGATCTTCTTCGCCACATCCATCTTCACCGTCCTCGTTCAGCTCACTGCACTCTTCTTCCTACGCGAGACGTTTGCACCCGCCATCCTCGGCAAAAAAGCAAAAGCTGTCAGGAAAGCGATGAAGGGCATTCACAACGATGTGGTTGTGCGGACTGAGTTTGAAACAGGAGATCGTATGAGCAAGATACTGAGGAAGAGGTTAATCCTGCCGTTCATCATGATGTTCACCCATCCCGCGACCCAGGCACCCTCGATCTATCGCGCCTTTCTGTACGGTGTCATGTACTTGATGCTCTCGACATTCCCGATGGTGTTTGAGGAGGTGTACGATATGGATACTGGGCCTGCGTCGCTCAACTACTTGTCGCTTTGTTTGGGCTTCATGATCGGCTTGCAGATTTCGCATCCGCTTATCGATCGGGTACGTCTATTACGCCCAGCTTCCTGGTCATAAATTACAGCGCTGACTTGAGACTAGCTGTATGAACGGATGAAGGCTTACTACAAGCTCACCGAAGGGGTTCCGGAGTTCCGCGTTCCGCCTATGATCATAGCAGGCATCCTCTGCCCTATTGGTCTTTTTATCTATGGTTGGAGGTTAGTCTATTCCACAACTCTCACTGTCATTATACTAATCGTATACAGCGCACACAATGCCGTTCACTTCATCGTCCCCAATATCGGCGCCGTCATCATAGCAATTGGTTTGATAATCGGGTTTCAATGCTCTCAAGCCTACACAACCGACGCGTACGAAGCCAACTACGCCGCCTCTGCAGCGAGCGTAGGAGCATTTATGAGAACTATGTGCGGCTTCAGCTTTCCGCTTTTCGCACCAAAGATGTATGAGACATTGGGTTTGGGATGGGGAAACAGTTTGTTGGCATTCTTGACTTTGGCAGTGGGGTTAGTAGGGCCTGTGGGACTATGGTTCTATGGGGCTAGGTTAAGGCAGATGAGCTGGAGGGGCTTGTGATAGATCACGGTATGCATATAGAAGAGAATTATGTTCTAGGGAATGTATTTGTTGCAACCAAAGTATGACTGCGCGAGGAAGTATCGCAGCACCGAAAACACCAAGACACCAACCCACGAACAGCCCAGGAGGTACTTAGACCGCGCTCGAACGTCAAGCCCAGACTCAAAACAGAACCCAACAGGCCACAACACCCCCTGTAGTTACTCCAGAAGGCCAATCGTACTGAATCCGTCCTATACCTCGCCATCAATGACGACACCCAGATTAGCGGTGTCGCACTGACTGGTATAGTCTCCAACTCTTTCTTCAAGGTCAATGTTCTTGCTCCCTCTCGCGGGCCAAGAACCTATGACCACCTCACTCGTCATCAGAGGCATAAGCCTCAGCTACCTCCATCTCGATCTCCACCGAGTCCGCGTTGTGTGCGAACAACCTGTCAACGTCGGCGCGCAACTTGTCGTTCTCAGCCTTGAGATCATCGTTGTCCTGAATGACTATCTTCATCTGGTCCTGGACCTGTATAGTACTGCCCATAAGGAGACCATCTTTGGCCTCAGCATAAGTCAACACCCCATCAATGAAAGGCTGGTTGCTCTGAAGTCTCGTCCACTTCATTCGGAGGCTTTGGCTCACCCTCTGCCACTTTTCCTTATCGTTTTTGGCGGTCCTGAGCTCCTTCGCTGCTGCTAGCAGCTCGTCGTCCCTCTTGACCAGGATCTTCTTCCAGCATTCTTTGACGTCTTTCCTGAAATCCGCGTTCTCTTGCTTGTATTCCTCAATTTGGTACTGTAACGACTTGATCTTCGAACTTGCTTCCGAGTTCTTTAAGTCATCAATCTCCTGCTGGCGCTCACGTTTGCACTCTGCAATCTTCGCAGCGATGACATTGTCTCGCGATGCGATGGCTTCCTTGAGTTGCGTTTTGACCTTCTCTTCATTGCGCTCTGCGTCATCAAGCTTGTTCTTGAGGTCATTCACGTCGAGGAGATACTTGTCTTTCTCAGCCTTGAGCTCTTTCTTCAACGCCTCAATCTGCGTTGAAGACGCTACACCGATGGTTGCGGGTTGGCGGTGGTTCATCTCCTGGATGCGCGCATCGCGATTTTGAACTTCGCTCTTCTTAGCCGCGACATCGAGTTCGAGAGAACTGATACGCTGTTGCAAAGAGGCAAAGATCTGATTGTTATTTGTCGCATCCAATTCAAGCTGCTGTATCTTCTCGTTACGTTGGCTGATCTCTTGGTTACCATCTTGCTGAAGTTGGTTGGCCAGTGCCGTCTTCTTGTCAAATTTGATCCGTAAGTCCTTGATAGTCTCGTCTTTCTGCGCCAAGTTCGCCTGGTATTGCGCGATTGTTGCAGCTGGCGTCCCATTGTTGCCTCCTACTGCCTGGAGATCTTGCAACTGACGGTAAACCTCCTCGCCCTTAGACTTGGCTTCAGTAGTCTCTCCGATGGCGGTATCGCGCTCCTGAGTGAGGACCATGACGTAGGTATTCAACTTCTGCACTTCGACGTTCAATTTATGAACCTGGTCTCGGAGATCCCTCTCCATAGTGGAAGTAGACGGGGGGTTGATCGCGGGGTTCCTCGCCGACATGTCCAAGACCTGCTGTGAGGCAAGTTTCAGCTGCTTCTCCAGTTCCGCGGACTTTTGGTCTGCCTGAACCAGGGCGTTTCGTAGGTCTGGGTCTCCCAGACAGTTAGCCGTATTGATGCTTGCCTTCAGTGTGGTCATTTCACTGTGGTGCTTCGCTTTCAGGGCATCGGCGTTGGTGCGATGTTCTTTGCGCAACTTGTCACGCTGCCCGTTCCAACGCCGTTCGTCTTCTACACCCTGGGTCTTCTTCTGAGCCTGAACTAGCAAAGTCTCGTTCTTGGCTTCGTTGAGCGCCTGCTCTAGGGCAACGACCTTGGTGCGCAGAGGCCGTAGCTCAATGAGCTCAGCCTCTTTCTCTTCGTGCAGCTGGGCGGACTCCTTGACAGCCTCGCCAACGTTGCCAGTGTTGATCATTTTTCGAAGGTTTGTGATTTCTTGTTGCTTGTCTTGAAGCAACTCGTCGAAGGTACGTACGACGCCAGAAACGTACTGACTGCGCAGTCGGGTCATGATGGTCTCTTTGAGGTCCCTGATCTCCGTTCTTTGGGTCTTGTTGTCCAGTTCCAGGTATTCTAGGCGCTGTTTGTTCGCGACCAGAGTGCTCAGTCTAGCCTCTAACCTGATATTGAGTGTCTTTTGGTCAATTTCGCCTTCGCCAGCTTCAAGAACACCGAGGCCTTGAAGTATCGCATCTCGCCCGGGCAGAAGCTTAGCTGACCGCTCAGCCTTGTCGCATCTATGAAGCAGAGTTGCTCGCTCGGCCAGTGCCTTCTCTGCAATTTCCGCGCGGCTTCGCTTCATTGTCTCGTAGGCCACTTGCTTACTCTTCAACTGTCCTGATAGTCTGATTACCCTTGGCTCACGGTACCACATGAGCGCGATTGCGGCAATAGAGATCATCAGTAAGGCGAGGAGGATGGCCGAGAACGCTCTCCATGGGAACCATGTTGCTGAGGTAGACGCTGTCGCGGGCATTTGTGTGGTGACTGGAGGGTACGCTTCAGGCTCAGGAGTACTCGGGCTCAGAGTGGCATCGGGAGTGTAGAGTATTGTTGTGTATGGGGTTGCCGGGTCGATGGGGTAGTGTGTCCACTTCGTGAGCCAGTGGTGGTCTATGGAGGTTGACACGGATGTCACATGTTCAGTCACCGTGGCGTATACGGTCTTTGGAACCGTAGCTGTTGTAGTGGTGGTGCGCGTCGCAGTCTCTGTTTGGATGATGGTCTTGTAGACCTCATCGGTCAAGGTCTTCGGCTCCGGAAAGAAGGTGGCCGTTGGGGTGACTGTAGTCGCGTTCGTGGCGCCGGCGGAGGAGATCTGCCATTGTTCGGGGGGTGAATTAGGGTGTGTGGCTGGCGGAGGATATGAAGTCTTGTAGATGGAGTGGAGTGAGTGGACCAGGATGGTAAAGCCGCACCAGACAAGACCTTCGTAAGGTGCGACGGTCGACATTGCGTGATGTTTGCTTTGTCGAGCTGGAGTGTCAATTGCAAATAAAACTGATGTGCGCCGAACGTGTGGTGTAGCGAGTGTTTTGGTGTCAGAATTTCCGATCGCAAGGTGGTTGTCAAGGCGATGTCGCACAAGCTGTGTGGGGGGTGTAAAGCGTTTGCAGATGACGTCCAACAAAGGTGCGATTCGTCAGTCCAGTGACAAAGCGCATTAATCTACAAAAGTGAAGGTGACTTCGAACGTAACAATGATGACACTGTGTAACGATATGTGTAGATGTTGGAGTGACGGACAATGAGGAGGCCAACGCACACCAAAGGAAAGGAAGGGCGGCCAACCGGTCGCAACGAGCGCGAAGATGTCTCAGCAGTGTCTCTCGGTGACCATCGATCACCCCAAAACTCCCAGAACGAGAAAAAGCTTTTCGCTGATGAGCGCGAAACATATCTTGCGCGCATCGTTAGAGTGCAGTGCAGCACAGTGAAAGACAAGTCTAAAGAAGTCCATGCTCGTCCCCATATCTAAGCTTGCACGTATTCATCGTCGCCTTCTGCAACTAAAGCCCACTCATCACTACAGATAGTATGTAAATTGTGAAATGCAAAGCCATGACATTGGAAATCGCCTGTAACGACATCACGCCAAGGGGACCGCTGCCGAGTAAGGAGCGCGCACCAATTTGAGCTTATTCCAATTATTCCAACTCTTGCGCAGCGCTGTATTTTGATGCATCGAAGTGAAAGGTAAGATGGAAATGGCTACCTCTTGTGTGAGAATGCAGTAGAAGACGTCGCCAATAGCCAAGGGGATCTCCTTCTCAGTGTTTCCCGCTAGGCCCGCTACGGGCAAGCGCTGAAATGCCGCCGCCTGTGCCCGCCTCGCGAACGGCATGCTGAACACCACACTGAAGATGGCAGCGGTACAGCACACAGCATCCTACAGCACGATAAGCATCACGCGTAGTGGTTGTTCTACAGATGGTAGCTATACAGTCGTGATGAAGGTGTGTTTCCCACCTCCCACCTGAACATGGATCGGCACCTCCTCAGCCTCTACACCGCCTGAACAGCCTCCCTTCGTGCCTCAACTTCCTGGTCGCACAGCTCAATCGACTCGTACGATATTTCTTCTGCCCCAAGAGCACTGATCACAACATCTTATGTCATTGACATGGTCATTGGGCTTGAGTATCCAGTTTGCAGCCCAGATCGCAAATGGGTTTCCTAATTTGGGCATCTTAACCCGCCCACAAAAGATGCTCCACTACGGCACACGTGCCCGCTTCGAACAAAATTCACAAGTCTCAGCTATTACGCCGGAAGCACGGGTCTCTGGGACCCTTGATCTGGGGTAGATGAGACCTTGTCGCCGTTTTACTCCACTTCGGTCTGGTATATCCACGCAGCACGCAACAGGCTGTAATGGAGGATACTTTGGCATCGTTTCAGCTGACTGCTTATCTTAAAGGCGACTTGTCCCCATCTTTCGAAGAGCCGCCTGCCTAAAAGAACGTCGGATCCGCTGTAGTCTTCCGCATACCCGAGCATCAGGATTGTGCTAAATCGTGGGCACGCGACCGCGGCTAATTCCGTTGCCTGTATTACTACCTGTCTCTGTACTCTTTCTCTCTACTTTCCATGTTACTGCGACATACGTACTTCACCATGTCACCAACAGCATCAGCAACCGCGGCCGTACCCACATTGACGCAAAGTGGAGCACGAGTCGCTCTACAAGCCGCGGAGCAGCATGCGATCGAAGTCGGTGTTCCGATGTAAGAGTTCCCCTCCCAGACGCATTGAATGCAGCAGGATGGGACCAACCATGCTAACACAACAACAGGAGCATCGCCGTAGTTGACGCGCACACACACCTGTTAGCCTTCACGCGCATGGACTCGGCGAAAATAACGTCCATCAACACCGCCATGGACATGGCCTTCACTGCCGCTGGCAATCGCATCCCGACCTCCGCATACCAAGAAACACCCTGGCCAGGCAGCGCAACCTCGGGCATTGGCAACACAATCATGGGACGCTTCACTACGCTGGGCGGTGGTGTACCTATCCTGTCAGCAGCGGGCGACATACTCGGGGCTATAGGCTGCTCGACGGGCACAAGCATGCAAGACGAGGCTGCAGCAAAGGCCGGCAGAGACGCCGTACTGGACGTCATCAAGAAAGAGAAAGAAGCCGAGGAGACGAGACTACACGAGGAGAGGCAAGCAGTGCTGACACTATGGAAAGAGAAGGAAGAAGAAGTAGGAAACTTGAGAGAGGAGCTCGAAGGCATGGATAGAGGAAGCAAGAGGATGAGGTTCGACGGCGGAAGGAGTGGAAGTGTCAGCGTTGCTGGCAGTCTGATGGGACGACGAGCGAGTACACAAGCAGGACTAGCACCAGATACCCCGCCAGAAGATGGCGAGCTGCTTCCGAGTTTTGTGGGGGAGGTGTCGGTGGGGCGTTATTGAGCGATTTATACCTCTTACGTTAGCGTTCTGAGTATCAGGTTCGTGAACTAAGCATGGCGTTCATGGTGGTAGTTTGGGCGAAAAGAGGCGTTGGTACAAGGGAGGTTTTTTGTTTGGTAATGATGAACGAACACTGTTTGGTCTACTGTATGGTCATGGTATGTGGGAAGATGTATGGCTTATGGTTGTCTGCATATGCGCAAGTCATTCCATGAGTGATCGAGCGGGGCAGCCTTTCCACTTTTGATGAAAGGTGTGGTGGAGCTCAACATGTGCGTCGGCGTTGTCGGCAACATGTCGACCAAACGTCATAGAACCATGATCGCCCGTTTGGTTCTAGGAAGAACTAGGGGACTGTGGCGTAAGGAAGCATGATTTGCTGGTGCTCTACTCGGGATGGTGAGCATCGGCAGAGGTGCATGCCAGTATGTATCTGAATCGGAAGTCATCTGAACAGGAATATCTCTCTGGCTGACATCTTATTCACCTCCAACAAATGATCCAGTACCGTATATTCACTGCCAACCCTCTACGATGCCGGCATATTTGAGTTCGGGGAAAGATTCACGCACGGCAAACCTATACGCATAATATCGTCTTCCACGCCCGGCAAGATCTTTGTACACCGGCATTCTTCACGCCCGACAATGTCTATTCACGCCCGGCACATGTTTCCACACCGGCAATTCCATTACTACCGGCAGAGGTATTCAGCACCGGCAAACGTCTTCATGCCCGGCATCTTTACCATACCGTCACTTTCTTTCCGCATCGGCACTTTCTTCTCATACCGGCACTCTTTACCATACCGGCACTTTGATGACCCCTCATTCAGGCCCGGCAAATTGTTCCAGCACCGGCAGGTGTAATCAACCCCGACAGAACTGATTCAACCGCGGCAAGTGCATTCAGCACCGACGACCGTACCCAGTACTAGGAAGTGCTTTCAACACCGGCAAGCACATTCAGCACCGGCGAAGTGATTCAACCACGGCAGACTGATTCAACCACGGCAGGTCGATTCAACTCCGGCAGACTGATTCAACCACGGCGGGCTGATTCACTCCGGCAAGCACATTCAACCACGGCAGATTGATTCAACCACGGCAGGCTAATTCAACCACAGCAGACTGATTCAACTCCGGCAAGCGCGTTCAGCTCCGGCAACTTACTTCACCCCCGGCAAATGCTGGCATCATTCTTATACCGAATTATCACGCCTTGGGCTAAGTAAAGCTAAGTGACAGCATGAGTACATATGGAGCAGACGACGCTGAAAGCGGCAAGCAATACAACCGAGGATATCCTACAACCACACACCCTTACTCACCCAGTCCTTCAGCGCATCACAAGGCAACGATTGAACGAACATGAACGAGCTTCTTCTGTGCTTCACCATCCAGGCGATGTTTGCGTGCAGAACCCACAATCACCGTCGTCAAGAAGAGATAATATTCCACGGAGCGAGACGCAGACTTTGTTCCGATACAATGTGAAGCATAGTGACACGCAATGGATCTGATAGGTCGTACACGTCGCAAAGCAAGCATCTCTCGACGTGATGTCCCACACCAATCTGTGTGATTATGGAGCTGATCGAGCTTGCTCATGACAAATCGTATTTCTGCGTGGGAACGACGTGCACGCGCGACATGCCGGGCTGGTTCGAGCTTCTTTCTCATCTCCAAGAACCGTCCTGTGCCGAGGGCAAATTCCTAGGAACTCGTGGGGACATTGCCCGTCGCGCTACGGACATATAGAGAAATAGCCTGCGTGCGTTTGCGCGATGCTGAGTTCATTTTCGGCTGGAGGAGACGGCGGTCGTAGGACCTTTGCGTAAGGAACTGTTCACATTCACAATCTTCTCATTGGAAACGCGATGAATAAATCACCAAAAGCTACGTCGATGTGATACAATTGTCGCATTCCATAGTCTTCGGGTCTCCTCAAAGTCCTCAAGGTTTGCCTGGAAACGGCAGACTCACAGCGACTTACGCAATCTCAACACCACGCGGGAACGATATCGGGCTGAATACTCGTTACAGCCCGTCTTCGATTGCGCAGTCGTCGCTCGTCACCCAACTTACGTACCCCCATGCACCGCCATGGTCGGGAAGCCCTTCCTGAGGAAACAACCAACGGGCGCAGTCGAGGCACCCCGCGCAATGAACCACCGGCACGCCTCAATTGTCAAGCAAAAGTCCAGCCACCTCTAGACCACGCGCGATCTTCATGCCAAATCACCGACTACATCGCCGAAGCCAACGGTATCAGTATCCCCACCCCGATTCACGAAATAACGATGTGCAAGTGACGACAGTTTTTGATCCCTGTACCGAGTGGGCGACCCAGTTAACCGATGGCCAGCGGGCCAGTGTTGGGCCAGGCGAAGCCAAGCTGGGGGGAAGCCGACACCCGGCCTGCGCGCGCGCAAAAGGCCCCATGTCGCAAGTCCGTCAGCGTTGTAGCATTGCAGCGTTGCTCGTGCGACGCATGGTGTTGAACATGATTGTTTCTTCGTTTTGGTTTC